TCGAACGACGAATTTAAACGAATCTCGATAAAAATAACGAATACAAAATAATTATTCGCTCTTCGAAAATCTTTTTTTCCTTCGTCGAACGTCGATCGCGTAGACGCGCGGCGAACTCTCGGCGAGCGAACAGAAATCCGCGCTTCCACGAGCCGTCTAAAAATGGTATCGCGCAGCTTCGAATCGCTACCTAGAGACACTCGTTCGAAATAAAAGACCGGGAAAGTCGGGCTTCCTCGTTCCACGGGTAGTCGGCCGGCAATTAATTAAACACACGATCGGGTCCGGCAACGATCGCTTAACCGACTATCCCTATTTTTCCGAGGAAGTACTTTCCACCGAGCCACCAATTAATTCTTCTAATTTCCCTTAAACCAGTTCCATCGAACCAGTTCCAGCTACGCGTACGCGCGCGTCGGCGAGCGCCGATTATCGAGATCGTTGGGTTCGTCTCGGCGTCGAACGTCCGCGCGAATAATAGCCGCGACGATCGCTTTATTTCGCGATTCGTCGATCGCGAGACGCGCGCGCGCGCGCGTGGGCGGACGGCTTCGAAACCGCGAGGAACGCTTCGAAAATACCGGTTGCTACGCGCGTGCTCGATCGACGCGATCGAGCGTCGCTTCGATCCGCGAGACGATCTCCGTCGTAGATCCGCCGCGATCCCTTCGACGCGTCGATATCTGGACGCTCGATCGCTCGCTTCCAATTTATTCGCGATCGATCGATCGATTAATTAGCGGATCGCTGTCGTTGCAGGACAAATTACAGGCTGGTCTAACGAACAAATTACACGCCGCGGTTTGCCGCGTTGTCGCCGCGCCGCTCGCAACAAAAGTGACGGATCCCGACACGTTTCGACTTTGTAAAATTACCCGCCGCGCGACTCGGCGAGCCGTTCGCCGTATTATCGAGATACGCGTAACCCGGGTTTGGTAATCGCGTAATTCTAGCGAAAGTTTCGAACGTGTAACGCGACGCCGTTGCGTTGATAAACAGCGCGGTTTTATGAGTTATCGGCTCGTTAACCAATTAGTGGCTGCGCGCGGACCGAGTTTCGTACGCGCCGCGCGATATTGTATCCGCGTCGCGCCTTCGATTCTTCCGCCGATAGGCGCTCGAACGTTTTCTTTCGAGCGCATTTTTCAGCGGAACCACCTAATAAATACTCGCGAAATAAATATCCGACTTCGTACAGTCCGCGCGCTCCGAGTTTTCGACGCGAAAGTTTCTACGATTCCGCGGAAAATACGAAGGTACTTGTTCGCGCGAGACAAACGGCGACGCGAACGAGACCGAGTTTCGCCCTGGAATCGTGCGACGCGAACGAGCGCGCGATGCTCGCAAAGATTTACAAACGTTCGTAAATTTGTTAGCGCGCTTCGTCGAAAAGGAATAAAATCGCGTTCGCCGGGGCAGCTTCCGAGGCGAGGAAATACAGTTCGTAGCGCGCGCGCGCGGCGTTTACCTGCTACGTTCGGTCACGATTCAACGACCGCTATCGTCGCGACAGCCCGAAGGAATCTCGGCCCGGCATTAGGCGACATCGAGACTTTTTAAACGGACGGGGAAATAATCGCAGATCCCGATAATGATAGACGCGAGCCGACCCGATATGAAATACAGCCGCGCGACGTAATTTATTGCACGATCGGCTCCGGAATCGACGGATCGGCTCCGTTTTTTCCTCGCGATCCCGACCCGATCCCGGCCGGCCCCGAGCCCAGGCTCGCATAAACCTAGAAAGTTATCGGACCGTCGTCGCTCCTGCCCCGGGGATGCGCGGCTAACGGTAGCGGATACAAGCCTGTCCCCGCGTTAACAGAATTATTTATTGCAACTATCGGCGCCGAGAGAACGATTAGCATGCTAATGTCGCGGCGATTTTACCGCGTTCGTCCGCGTGCTCGCACCGCTGATCCGACATTATTAAATTATTCGCGGACGAGCCACGGGCGGGGCATCGAGGATCGACGCGAAGCGACCGGCGCCGTTTATCGAGATCGCGGGACGGTCTTCGTTGTCTTTGGTTCGACGTTAACGATCTTTCGTACTCGAAGTTGTTTAACCCCGAAGAAGAAAAGGTTTGTTTCAAATTTACGCGATTTTTTTTTGTCGCACGTTCGACGCGCGACATTTTTAACGGCGTTTCAAACGTGATAGAATTTCTTTTGAAAAATGCTATATAGAAAACGGCGCTGGACGGTCGCCGTTGGAGCGTGCAAAAGATTAACGCGTTAACCGATCTTAACTCGGAATCGCGATCGTTGCTTGAGAATACGTGTTTTCGCTCGAAACCAGAATCGCAGCGCAACGATCTACTATTTCAAGAACGTTCCCCGCGCGTTCGATGGATAAATAAACCAAAGGACACGCGGTGAACGATTCCCGCGTAGAACACGGCAATTTGCCACGGACGATCCGTGAAAAGTTACGCGGGATAACTTCCGAACCAACGAATAAAACGCGAGAGAAACGTTGAGAAATCCGCGACTTCGAAACGACGCGATTCGGCGGTCGGGCGTGGATCGACGATGGGAATCGAGCTTTAATCCGCGCGAAATATTCGTACGTCGACAGTCAACGTCGGTCAGATAAGACTGGTATTCGATATCGGCCGTAAACTGTAGCCTGGGAGCCTGGGAGCAAAGCCGTGGAAAGAGACGCGACGCGACGTTTCGTTCGGCTTCCGGGCTGAAATCGATCCGAGGAAACTGGACGATGGCGTAGCGGTACAGTTTCGACGAGACGCCGAAGAGGAAGCTCTAAACCGAATCGCCTGTCCGCCGATGCGATCGATAGGACCCGTCCCCGTCTTCTTATCGTCCCGTCGTCGCTCGGACATTCGAAACTCCGGCGTTATTATTAATCCGCGATAAGACCGGAAGCGGTAAAATTAGCAGCAACTCGTTGACAAACTCTGCGGAATCGTTAACGAGCGTCCGCGTTATCGTTAGAAAATTAATATCGAAGCTAGCGATAGCTAATGGATACTTATCTCCGATAATCTGGCGCTACGAAACATTAATTGTCGAACACGGCGGATGGATCGATAAAAATTGTTGCGAGTTCGTGCGAAATTTCTTCCAAGTTGCTCAGGATTATTTATACGCCGAGGCACCGAAGCATCGAGGATCGCGGAATAAATCAGGGACGAAATTCCGTTTTCTCGAACGTTGCTAATAAATTAACGCCGTTACCAGGGATCTCCCTCTTTGCAACGCGGCTCGAACATCGGAATCCCCTGCTAGACCAGTTTTCGGAACTTTCGATTAACCCCGCCGCGAATTCGCGGCATCGCGGCATCGCGCCGTCGGCTCGTAACGCCTAACCGCGCAACATTAAGCATAATCTGCGCCGCGACTCGCGAATCGCCTTGGAAATCTCGACGGTGAAAGGCTGGATTTATTAATTTGCACCGCGGTAATCGATCTTCGCCGCAAAAATCTACGATATTCTCGCAATGTCGAGAAAACGAACGAACGATCGCCCCGTCGACTCGAGTCGAGTCGAGTCGAGTCGAGTCGAGTCGAGTCGAGCCGCGCCGGCGTTAATCGCTTAAAATCACGCGGTTCGAAGTGTTCCAACCGCAATACCGTTTCCCTCGCGGAATAAGAAGCTGTTCGATAAGAATTTGTACAACCAGCCACCGTAACGTCCAGATTCTTTCGTCCGACATAGAAACCAGCGATCGTTTTTATTTTTGTCGAACGGATCGATCTGGAATTTAACCTTGACCGACTTGTCTCGTTGAAACGGCTGCTCGAATATCGTTCTTCCAGAACGAAGTTTATAAGATTTATCGCGGAAGCCGAGACGGTCTCTTTTAGTTTCTTCGACGGATCGATCCAACGTACGATCGCAACGTACGAAAATTACGACGAAAACGACGAGATCGGTCGGCTGTGCCGGAAAAAAGAAACGGTATTCCGTAGCTGTCGCCGTCGGGCGACGAATACGCGGAGACACGGTCGTTTCACGGTACGGCGATTACACCTACTCCCTCGGCCGGCGAGTTACGGGCCGTCTTTATTAACGAGTAATTATCGTCCGCGTCGCGTCGCTATGCCGGTCACGCGGCACTCGCTGTCGCAGCAGCGCGCCAAAGAGCGTCGTTCGAACGCGTGCCGATCGAGCCGATACACCGTTACGAGTTTCACGAACCGTCAACGACCGAGACCACCGTCGTTTCGTCGAGCGAACGTCCGTGCTCCGCGGTGTACGGGCCCGTGGCCTATGGCCTGCGGGAATCTATCGGCAGGCCAGGCTGCACGAACGGGAAACGCGTATCGGTGTCCATAATCCGTCGACGATTTCGTGGAACAGGTTCTCGCGACGCGTCGCGCGGTGTCGTCTTCATTTTTCACCGCTCGTTCCCTTCGACGTCCGAACATCGACGAATCGAGGTTATATACCACGTATTCTCCGTCGAAGTCGATCGTAAAACTCGAAGATTATTCGGGCTTCGATCGTCGAAAATATCGTCGAAAATATCGTCGAAAATATCGACGACGCGCGCGATCCGGACGAGAATATTTCAAAATACGGTTCTCGCGGAGCGACGCGAGCCGATCGCGTCGACTCGTGCCGGGATGCCTCGAAATTCTCGACAGCGTTACCGAGAGTTCGCGTTATCGTCGAGACGAATCCGTACCTACCTATCTCGAATTAGATATTCGTCGCGATACGTTCGACGTTTACCAAAATAGAAGCGTATCGGTCTCCCGCGCGGCTCCGACGTCGCCGATACGACGCACCCGACGAATTTCGTCGCGAGATCGCGAGAAAGTGGGCGCGCGCCGCGTTCGAATCGGATCTTTCGACGATTCTAACGAGACTCGCGACGGGCGTTGGAAATTTTCGAGAAACGATTTCCCTCGGAAATTGGTAAGGATCCGGCCGGCGCAGCTGCGGAACAGGTTCCATTATCGGAATCTAGTCGCGAGCGAGCGGGCGAGCGGGCGAACGAGTTCGCGAAACAAACCGTTTGACAAACTTACCGCGACGAGGATGCCGAGAGCTTCAATTCGCATAGTAGCTGGCCGGGCCAGCGGGGAGGCCGTAGGTTGCGAGCTGCTGGGCCGGACCTGGGCCGGACCTGGGCCGGGCCGATCTCTCGTCCTCGTTGAGTCGATCGATCCGCGTCCTCCTCCGTTTCACTCGATCCGAAGCGTGTCCGGCAGGCGATCCGATTCTCCCGGTTCTACGCCGATTTCTCGCGATCCGTGGCACGGATCCGGTGACATGGCTCCTACGCCGATCTGTCGACAACACGCGATTCTCCCTTATTGCGACGCTCGGACCCGCCGCGGAACTCGGCGCGACGCGACGCGTAAAATCGCTTCGACCGCGGCTACGGAAGAGCCGAGGTGTCGGGAAAAGATGCTCGGCAGTTTGGATTTCTAGGTTAAATGTTCCGCCGAACGAACGCCCCTGAAAACGAACGAGCTTTTTTCAAATTCGACCGAACGACCCGACTCTTTGTCGGAGATGTCGGAGACATCTGTGGTTTACGGGCTATCGCGTAAATCGAAAGAAGCGACGAAGAAGGGACAATCGAGAGATACGGAACAACGTCCGGTGGCAAACGTCGAAAAGTATAATTAATAACGACACCTGTATCGCTGCCAATTCTACCCGCACTGCTGCCGATGCCGAACGTTCCGACACGAAAATAAAAGAATACGCGGAGAGTCGAATCGGTCCGATCAACGTCGACGGCGGCATAAAAATGCGACGCTGTCGCGAATCGACGTTCCAAGGGGGAGCCGAGACGATCGGCGCGACGCGTTGCGACGGACTGGGGATCGATCTTTAAGATTTGCCGATAACGGTAACGAGGGCAGAGTTAAACGCCGGCGTTTCGGTTCGAACGAGACTACCACGTTGCGTCACACGGACGGCCGCGATAACGTCGCGAACCGATATCTTATCTCGGCGCGTTCCGATCGACGCCAATTACACCCGCGGTCGACAGGCACTGACCTACCGAAGAGGCGGGTCCGCCTTCGATCGGGATCGGGATCGCGACTCGCGCGACGGACTGCTCGCGCTCGCTGTAACTCGACCGAGTTCGTTGTTTCGCAACAAACTTTCCGAAGCGCGCGTTCCAGGTAAGGGGACACCCGAAGTACTCGCGTCCCTTGGCTCTGCCTCGGTTGGACGATCGTCCCTGGTACGATCGTGACGCGATATAGCTTCGCTGTCGCCTCGGAGATCGTTCGCGCGAAGTCAACGGAAAACGATCGGAACGGGTCGTTCGTTGATATTTGCTCGGTCGAATCGAGCTTGCGTGAAATAAGATGCGACCATCGGTTTATAATAATACGGAGATTACCGAAAGTTTTCGGTTAGCCGAAACATCGAGCCTCTGCTTCGTCGAACTGTTCCGTAGGAACGGATAGGCGACAGGTAGTTTTCTCCCGCAGAAAATCTCTCGCACTCGATCTTACTTTATCGGAACATGCGTCGATACGAATTGCTATCGTTGTCGTCCAACGGAGAGGAAGCGTTCGTTAACTGGGACTCGACGAGATCCGACGCCCGAGGAGACGTTATTAAAAGTTTTCGAGCCGAATCGCGACGCGACGTTTCGAACGTCGATCGAAAGTAACGCGTTCGGAGATGTTGCCGTTAAATTCCGGATCGACCCGAGCAAATGGATACGTCGGTGCGGCATAGCCTGCTCGACGCGTTTCTCGTCGACGAAAACGCGTTTCGCCGTCGCGTCGATGGAACGGTTCCCACGGCGGACAAATTAGAAATGCGCTCGGTTCGAGAGAACGAAGCGACAAGATTTATAGGAGAGACCGGTGGGAGATCGAACAATGAGATTGCACGGCTTATCTCGTTCGCGATCCGCCGGTGGATAGACGAGCGATCGAACCAGCGGAATCGGCGTGTAACGGCCGTTAACGGGTTTTCCGGTGCTCGAGCACGGAAGGCGGATCGAAGGAACGCGAGGACAACGTCGCGTCGTCTCGTCTCGATCTCGATCTCGATCTCGCGCGCCCACGGTTCCTTCCGATCGAGAGCAATTATTCTGTTCTGTCGCTCGTCGGACAGGGGCGCCTGTACGCCGCGCGCCGCTCGGAGTATCGTTCGCTACGCGCGTTAACGACTCTCGAGAAATCATCGATTGGTCCGTCCCGAAGCCGCGACGCCTCTAGCACGGTGCAAACACGCCTTCTCGCCCGATAGAATGGTCGGGAATTACATTTCGAGCCGGAACCCGAACGCCGCGCGTCGAATTCGCCCGAGCGATTCGGAAATCGGACTCCTTGCGACTCACGGCTTAACCGGTTGCGGTTTACGGTTTACGCGAGGTTTCGCGCGTGCTCGTGCGCGACTCGCGATAGCAAACGCTGCCGAACTAGAAGCGATCGATATTTTATCCTCGTTCCTGTCCGTTTCAACGACGCTGGATACACCTATCGGTTGGACCCTGACCGCGTAGCTCGATGCAACTTTCGAGAACGCGGCAAAGTCATCTTGCCCCGTTCCTCCTCCTTCTTCGCTTTTAAATCGCGCGAATCAGTCGTTCATTCGCATCTTGGGATTTATTTGCCGGTTCCGAATTACTTAAAATTCGGATCGCGTTCGCATCGCTGGAAAATTTAATCCGCTCGGAGGATCGACAAAATTTAAGGACGCCGATGTATTTTTGTCGACCTATCGACCATTTGCCGATCCTAAGTTCGATTTATTTTTCGGATTCGCGCCCGCGAGCGTCGAATCCAGTTTGGTGCGTCGGCTCGATCGACCCGGCCCCCGCTCGTGAATCGCTCGAATCCTCGCGCGACGATAACCCGTTCGACGTTCGACGAGGATGGAGAACGGGAACGGGATCGGGAGCGGGAACGGGAGCGGATCGACGAGGGTAGGCGGTAGGCGGTTCCCGCGCCGCGGCTCTGTAAAACCAAGACCGGCTGCCCGCGTAATCGTAAGCGGATTAGGCACATAATTTTGGATCATCCGATCGACTCGAAGCGTACGTACGCGGGCACGGCTCGCGGTGAGTAGCGCGGCGCGAGTTGTTGCCGGTTGGAATTCGTCGATAACGAGCGTAGAGGCGGGAGGCGCGTTCGGTAACAGACGTCGCGCAGCGTTATCGGAGTTTTTCCAGGGTCGGTGATCGAGTTGTCGTTGGCGGAGGACAGGGGGGCACAGCTGCGGGACCCGGCACCGGCACCGGCACCGGCACCGGCACCGGCACCGGCAGCGGCATCGGCAACGACACCGGCACCGGTGTCTCGTTTATCCCGGTCGGTCCTCGCTTATCGTTCGTTATCGACGATACGCGTTGCCCCGGAACGCCGTCCGCGCGTTCCTTCGCGAAGGGTCGCGGGACGGGGGACGCGGCGAGACGGGACCACGGAACGCGGACGTCTCGAGTCGGGCGTTCGCTCTTACGCGTTCCACGAACGAAAACGGAAGACGCGCGTTCCTCGTACGGGTACGACGCGCGACGGTCTCTTCGAAGGAGACTCGCGAAATCTCCGCTCGAGCACAGGCCGATGTATCGTATACTCCCGCGCTTTCTGCGAACGACTGCGAGAGCTTGCCAACGGTAACGCGCGACTCGAGGAACCGCAGGAAAAGGGGGACGTCGATTCGGACCCAGGTACTTCTTCGCCGTGAAATATTCGATGCGACGCGCGTTTGTATTTTCTCGAATGGACGAACGTCGATAACGGATCGATAAAATTTCAAATTCGAAGAAACGCGACTTCCGGCTGGGTTCGGGTATTTACCGCTCGTAATCGCGAAAGGTTTTCCCGCGATTCGTCGATTCGCGCTTCTCCGTCGCGCCGACGCGAACAAGTTCGAGCAGAACGAGGGTTTTGCGAGAAATTGGGAATTCGACGCGCGTCGTCGCGTTCCGCGAACAAAGGTGGACGCCGACTCGCGACGGAGACAGAGGCAGGAGGGCGAGCTTCTCTCCGCGTAAAGTGAAAGTAATCGCGAAACCGTATCGCCGTCCGCGCGAAAGAACGTCCACCTACGACAGAAAATGTGGAAACTTTCTCTCCTGGACGAGCAACCCTTCGTAGAAAACATGGTACCTCGTTCCCGCGTCCAAATATAGCACCCGCGTTAATCGTTTCAACCTTGTCCGAATACGATAAATACAACTTTCGAAACAGCGAGTGGAAGAAGCAGAAATATGCGTAACGGGAAGCGACGGACGGACGCCGATTCTACCGGTCCGCGCTTCCGATCGATCTCGCGAGTTTACCATTTCCATCTCGTAACGCTAGCATTTTCAAGTTTGCCGTCTCCGTCTCGCGAGTTTACCATTTCCCTGCGAGACGGCCTGCGAGACGGCCTGCGAAACGGCGGATTCGCATAAACGCGTACGGTCTCCGGTGTTTGAAAATTTATGGGATCGCGGGAAAAAGTTGGTCGATCGGTTCTCGTAAAATCCGGAAAGTTTGCAAACGCGCGCGGTGCTCGTGCATTAATTGAAACGTTATTTATGAAATAATGAACAGCCGATAGCGGCGATATTGTAGACCGCGTGTTCGACTCGAATGTAAATGGCTCGCGATTAACGTACATTATCCGGGGGCCCGCGGTGAAATATCGACCGGCGACCGGCGATCGGCGATCGGCGATCGACGGTTGGCAGGGCTACGGCTGGGAAAACGCGGCGCGATCGTTCCAGGTTCCAGGTCCCGGCTCGTACAAGAAACCGCGTCTCGCTTCGGTTTCGTCGATGTTACGAGAAAATTGCCTCCGGTAATAATAGCAATTTTATTCAGCTTTTTAAACGGTTCTCGATGGCCTCTAACGTTGCGCGATTACTCGGCTTAGTTGCACGGCAACGATCGTCGTTGCACTGTGAGAAACGAATCGACCGGAGCGGGTCGACGTTCGACGCGGCGATGGACGATGTTCGATGTTCGATGTTCGAATCCGACGAGTTCTCGGATTTTTTAGCAGTTTCGTTGTACCCGGCGTCTCTTTTCCGAGCAAAGCCGGTCGCGGCTGGATCGTTCCTTTCCATTTACCGAATCGATGTTTTCTCCCTTATAATTTAACCGCGATCCGCGGTCATTTTTAAGCGAACGCGAATTCCGAACGAGATCGAAGACGAGCTCGCGAGCTCGAGAGCCGGAACGATAAAACGAGCAACGATTCCTCCACGAGCGGCTCGACGATCCATTTTCAGATGTAAATTAACGCGCGATCGGTCGATCGAGGATCGGCTGTGGCTTTATCGAAGAAATCGGACGATTCCGTGAAAATCTTCGAATCG